TTGCGCAGGGCGTCGGTGTTAGTACCGTAATTCCAGGCGACGTCTTTCAATGGCGGTGTCAAAGGTCTAGTATGCTCTAATCGATATTTTAAATCTTTTATCACCTGCAAACGATGCAATATGTCTTTTAATTTAATTAATCCGTTTAATTTGCTCGAACCGTTCCAGTAAACCGATTTTTTAACAGATTTTCAAGTTTTAAGCCTTTATTTGATTTTTGAATCGTGTTTAAATCATATCGAAATCATTTTTTTTTTAGATAATTTTATCTCTCATCGTCATTGTGCAAACTCATCATTTTCTCTCTCTTTCTCTCGTCTCTTTAATATTCATAATTTTAAATGGATTAAATAACAGCCGAATTTATTCAAAGTCCGATGGCAATATAATGTCTTATTGGAAGTATCAATGGATATATGGTATTAGAAACCAGGTTCCTTACAGGAGCAATAGCAATTTATTATTATTGTTAAATGAAAATATATTATGACAGCACATATTATAATTAATTAGATAATATCAGCAAGAATTAAAAAACGCAATCTGTCTACTCGCGGAATTACCTCTTCGGAAAAAGTAACTTTGTACGGTCTAATGTCATTGTTGACAGAGCCCTCGGTGCCGGGCGTCCACCAGGTTTCCGGTAACTTCGTTAACTTCGGCGCTCCACGGGAGCAAAAGTACCTTCTCGTTAGAGTAAACAGCATCGCGCAGCAACCGAGGAGAAACGCGCCACACAGGAGACAAACCATTATTTAAGCAAGTGTTAATATGTCGTTCGAACACAATATACTATACGCATTCACTCGCCGACAAGTATCAGTACGTACTGCACCGTACTGATCTACCCATCTACCGATTACGGCGTGACCAAGCACAACGCATTATCACATCGCGAATTGATGACTACAGCCTACAGCTGCGTGATCCAATGAGGAGCACGGCAATATGTATTATATGTTACGGGCGTCAAAATTTTGAAAATTTGCGTACCGTATGCAGTTCAAAAAGAAAGGCGAAACTTCTGGATTGGCGTTTAAAAAGCTTCGCAGTCGAATTTAATCTTTCAGCTATTCTACGCGCGATCGATTTATTCGTCTCGAGGAACGTTGCCGGGAAGGGCAACGTTAGAAAGGATCCAAAGAAATTCTCGACACGATCGAGAGGAATCTTGGGGATCCATCCGCGCCCGCGCTAAGTACTCGACTGTCGTCGCGTACGATACGCGTGCGCAAAGAATGCCGTTACTTGCATATATGTAGGCCGACTTGTTTTAACCGTGCATACATGTAGCGGTTCGTAAAATGTTGACACTGAAAATCATGGAACTTCGGAGAAAATAAGGCTGAAGCTCGCATTTAAAAATCATTGTTTTAATCAATTAACATTGATATACTTATTTGCGGGAGCTTGAGGACCAAATTAACTCCAGTTTTATTTAATTTATAGCGAGCAATTTGCGGTATTCTCATCTGTACGTTTATTTACATAATAATATAATTTAGTTCGTAAATAGCTATAAGAATTTTTAATTTTCTCGCTCCGTTTGACGTAGAAGGAAAAGGAAGAATTAAATTAGAGATGAATTATAGAGATGAGTAGAGACGATGAATTGTATAGTTGATTCGCAATTTTGCTGTAAATTTATATATTCTGCTAAATTAATCGTTGATTTTTTTTTAAGTCGATCGGAGTCTTACCGAAGTCATCCCCATGACGTTTAAATTTTGCTAAATGAATATGGGAAACTCGACTTCTAATCTAATTTTGTAGATGTTTCCTTTATTTAAAAGATTCACCTGCCTTCGGAGAAAAAAAGATTATGCAACGTTTTGGAGTCCGGTCCAAGCAAGGATCCGTCGAATTCGATTACGGAGCAATGAGATCGGTGAATCTTATTCTCTTATCTTGACGAGAACGGAGGATCCGCGAAGAAGTAAACATTGATATAATCTCGAGAATGACAGCGTGATGATGTTGGTAATTAGGAGGGATAGTTCCTTGTATCGACGACCAATAGGAAATATACGACGAATTGGATCAATAAGCGTATGGTATCATGACTGGATTAAAGCCTATGGCACATAGAAAAATGTAACAATAATATACTTAAATGATATATTTGATGAGACAAATAAACTTTATTAATGTCTGTTGAATCTTATTGCTGCATTTGCTATCGTACAGAACTTTCCATTTAGGTTTTGAAAATATATAGACGACAATTATATATTCAGTATTTTTGTCAGTGTATTAATCGGGGCGGGCTATCCCGCTGCAGTCCAAATTGATATAATTATTTGGCCTTTTTGATACATGGCAAATCAGGCTCATTCATGTTTTCCGAAAGATTTCCAATAATTACGACATTGGAGGAAGACGGTATAGAATCTGTCCCATCTAAATTTGAACTGTAAAAATATAATGTATTACTTAAATTATAATTTACAATAAAAAAAGAAAAATAAAATAAGGGCATTATACATAAGTAAGCTTACGTGGAGCGTTTCCTTTTATACGAAGTGCCGTCAACCTCCGGCGTTGAATATTCGTCCTGTATGGGCTGTATGGATGTAAGTCTGTATTCGGAATTTGCTGAAGAGTTGTCATTTAAGCTACAAAGATTAGCTTAGAGATTAAAAATTTTTTAATAAAATTAAATTCGGAAAACGTGATTTTCATAAATTTATTCGTACTTACTTGACATATTGTTTCATTTCAATCAATTCCTTTTTTATTACTTGAAATGTCAAATATATCTTTTCTAGCAAATTCAAAGTATTCTTTTTTGTAAAATCTAATCTGTAAGAACAGTAAAATTTTATAAAATTACTTACTAGTTAACTTTGTTTTACATTAATGATTATGCTTGATACCCATAATAAATGTTATATATAATTATTTAAATAAATTTGTAAATTTGCTTCCATTACTTAAGAAATTTGTAAAAATTGTAGAACTACAAAAGTATAAACATGCAATGAATATAAATAAATAATTATATAAATAAATAATTATTTGTAACATATATAATATAAATTATTTTTAGAAAGTCGATGTTTTATTCTTAGATTCATTTATATGATCTAATGTAGAAGATGTGTAGAATTATTTATTAGAAGTTGTCTTATTTCATTTATACATACGTTTGTACGAATTTGTATATATCTGAACAGCAACGGATTATCTGTTTCAACTCAAATAAAATTTTTTTTTTTAATGTGATGTACTCCTCTTCGTTAAATTGATGTTCTACAATTTTTCTGTAAAAATTTGTAAAATTATTTAATATTTAATTTGTTTTTATTTTATTTTATTAATTGACGTACGTAAGATTTGAATCAATTAAGCGCTAAGGAAACGCGGCCGTCGCGAATTATCGAGCTCAAAAAGATAATTTATCAATATTTTATTAATTAACAAACGTGAGATATGGATCGATTAAGCGCCGAGGAAACGCAGCTGTCGCAAATTATCGAGCGCAAAAAGATATATAGTTTATCAATATTTTATATAATCTACCAATATTTTATTAATTAACGTACAAAAGATATGAGTCGATTAAGCGCCGAGAAAACAAATTCTTTAATTAAAATCATAATTTTGAATACTTACTCTTCAGGAGGTTTGTTATGTTCGTATCTTCTTATCGTTCCTTTAAGTAATGACTTTATTGTAGTATCCTGTACGTTTGTAGTTCTATGCCGTTTTAAATGTTGAATTATTTCACTGAATTTAATTTTCTTTTTTTTGTATGTTAAAAGTTCCTTACACTCTTTCACGTTACATATTATTGTATAAATTGTATCACCATTGGACTTTTTTTCTTCTAGAATTTGCACAATATTTTTTCCCATTTTGTTGTAATTTTAAACTATCTAATCAAAATATCAAAAGAAAAATCAATTAGGAGTTATGTATTTTGTAATTGTCCCATAGGGTGTCACTATTTACCCATAGAGTAGAGCAAATAGTGACAAATGTAGATTTCAGTATTTATGAAAATTTAGCACTTATACATGACTTATGGAAACTCTAATTAAGTTTTTTGTATATTTGAAAGTAGAAAATACTCTTTTAGTGAAAAATTATATCTTGTAAACTTGAAATTAGCTTTTAGAAGAGAGAAAAAAAAATCCATCACTATTTGCTCCCCTCCCTTCCCTTATAATAATACACGATAACTTTTATAATTAGTTATGTGTATTACTTGCATAATAATACTTTTTTTTGGCAAAAATATATTTTTTTCTCTTATAAAAAAGTATTAATGGTCGCTCAGTAATTAATTACTGAGGTCTAGTGATTTATTACTGGTAATTAGTATTTTATTTTTGTACTCCAGTAATTCAACTACTGGCAAGTGAGTAATTGCTAGTAATATTAGTAGTTTTTTCTGGCATCCAAAGCACTGATACAAGTACTTCAGTATTTACATATGTAATAATAAAATACTGAAGTACTAGAGAATGTAGTAATTGAGCTCAAACATTAAGTACTGATAAAATAATTTTCCTAATAATTTATTACTTAATCTAGTACAAAAATTGTAAGTCCTAGCTCATGCAATCATGTACACAACACCGCGCCCGGAATGTAACGAAATTACTCTTTCCTGCGTTTTTCCGGTCATAGGATTGTCATATGAAAATTTTCAAAACTTATAGAACTTACAAACCAAAAATCCCGAACATTTTGTGTGCAATCCCGGGACGCATATAAAAAAAAGCGTGTGTAGTAGGTCAGCGGCACGTTTCTGAATAATTACGCGGGGAGGAGTCAAAATATTTAGAAGATTCCCTAAAAATCCTAAAATCCCGGACGCTCTTAACTATCCCGGACGCCTTTGCAAAATCCTTCCGGACGATCCCGGATGCCCGGAAAAAAGAGGACAGTATATCCGGGAAAAAGAGAGCGGATGGCAACCCTATCCGGTCACGACCGTTCATGCTGCATCACCAAAATACCGTACGCCGCCAATGGCAGACCAAACATGCAATCCAATGCAATCTAAGCGCGTGGCGATAGCAATCCCCAAACGAGAACGCGATTCTCGGTTAAAGCGTGGCTTTACAGTTATATATGGGCATTCATTCTCACCGGCTCGGGGAAGCTCCTCGTCTCTTTCCGATATCCAAGATCCTGTAACGTATTTGTTCGCACTATCTGTTCACCGAATCGTAGACCCTTACGAGACACCGGTTCGCACGAAAGTGGCAGAGCAGGATCCCGATCGATGCCCGCTCGGGATAGTACAACCCTTAGGGGCTTTCTACAATAAGCCGTTAGTCACCACTCATATCATACTAAGAATTGACCAATCGTAGTCGAATATTTTTCTTACATTCAACTGTGATTGGTCAATTCTTACGATTTACGGCTTATGATCTGACATACGACGTATTGTAGACAGCCCCTAAAGCGTCGTCTACAATGAAACTTAAGACTTAAGATTTAAGAAAGTTGACCAATCACAGTCGATTATTCATTCTTCTTATGTGAGATAAATAATCGATAATAATTGGTCAATTTTCTTAAATTTGAAATCTCATTGTAAACGCCGCTTAAAGCGATGTTGGCAGGTCGAAAAAGGAAGATGTTAAAAAAGGACCAATTTTGACTTAAAAAGATGTAAGTAAAAACAATAATGTTTTTTTTAGATTTTGATTCTCCTGAATGCGATAGAACTATTAAAAAGTTCGTAGCGCTTATGGAACATCTTGCGAAAATTGAGCGTAAACACAGCGTTTTTATTAAATACAAGATTATACTAAATAATGCAAGTAAAATAAAATAAACGAAAAAAGTCCTACGTTGTTTAGAAATGCCGCGGAATAGTTCAGTGTGATCGGCATCACAAAAAACAATCTAGTACTAAAGTTACTAACACTCATATATATTATACACGGGTACCGACTTTAAACTTTCTTTTGTCCTCCACTGTATAGCAATATTTAATAAGGAAGGATGTGGAAAGAAAGTTAAGTATAATAAAGATGTGCACATTTTAAGAAACCATTTCGAAAAGTATCACGACACTTACTCGCTTATATTTTAGAGATACATCAGAAATAGAACGTGCAACATTTAATTACTACGTAATCAAGGGCGACATTGCAAAGAGTAGAAGATGTGAGGTACGAGTAATTTTTTGTAAATAGACGGATTTTGTAGATATTTTGTTAGGCTATTGAAATTTGATCAAACTGTCTCTTGCTAGCAAATATTAGCAAAAAAGGAAAAAATCATGAAATTATTTTGGAAAAATTCGATCGAACTGTTTCTTGCTGAAAGCAAGTATTAACAAAAGAAAATAAAGGCCACTGAAATTGCCTTTAAGAAACTGCCGACCAAAAACTTTTTGAAAGTTTCTGACAAAACTATAATTATCTTTTGTGACCATTTATAACCAGGTTTGAGAAACTTTATCTTAAAAATCGTTAAGTCAATTTTTTCGACCGTCACAGTGGGGATTTCCTTTTAAGAAAATTTTCAAGGTAAAGAAAAAGGGCATCCCTCTGGCCTCACCCTGCATGCCTTTATCTTACATAAACCGAATCCATAATGTAGTGACTTTCACGGTCCATCAATTGATATATCTGAAAAACATTTGTTAACAAATTATTATCTCAATACAGTCAAATAGACAGAAGCTGCTTAATTTATTATATCTGAGAGTTTGCTGAATGCACATGCTTTTTATCCTTTTCTAGCTCTCACCTTTCTCTCTCGCCCTTCTCCTCGCTTACGGCTCTTAGACTTTTATCCACCGTAAGGCAGAATTCGTTCCTCTGATAAGAAAGCGACTAAGTTAGCCGCTCGAACATGGCAACATATTTTATTGCCTTTTCTATTCAATTCGTTTCGAAATAATTAAGGGATATATCGGTGGACATGAAATGTTCCAAAAAAAGAAATACCGAAAATTAAGAACTGAGACAATGTCCCGAAATGACATAATACCGAAATCAAGGAACTGAGACAATATCTTGAAAAGTCATAACTGTAAAAATTAATACATCAAAATAATATTAGTAAAATATAAATTTCTTAAAATATTGTTTTGAAATTGTCCAAGTAATCTGTATCACTACCTATATCACAATTTAAGAATAATTCTCTTATAGAAAAAGGAACAATCGATGTATAGATTATGCATATCTTATTAAATAATTCTATAATCTTTTAATATAAAAAAATATTATAATATTCACAATTTAGAATTATTTAATAAGATATACATAATCTATATGTATATATCGATTGTTCCTTTTTCTACAAGAGAATATAATTATTCATCGTGATACAGATGTTGATTTACTTGTACAATTTCAATACAATATTTTAAGAAATTTATATTTTACGATGTTATTTTAATGTATTAAATTTTGCAATTATAACTTTTCGGGATATATTGTCTCAGTTTCTTGATTTCGATGTTATGTCATTTCAGGACATTGTATCAGTTTCTAGTTTTCGGTATTATGACATTTCAATTTTACAAAATTTCGGGAAATTGTCTTTCTTCTTAATTTTCACGGTACTAGGACATTTCGGGACATTGTCTCAGTTCTTAATTTTCGGGATTATGATTTTTCGGTAAATTTGCATGTCCACTGATATACCGCGTATGTATTATTTGATCTTGCGAAAATTGCGATATGCATTAATGCCTCGCTGAAGGATACTAATTATGCAGTATACCTAGCTTGGCAGATAAATCCTATCGTTGAAAGAGTCATTACAAAGGCAGGTTTTAACAACAAATTAACAAACATAAATAATAATTAACATTTAAAATATCAACTTTGCGTATCGTCAATGATACAAATCCGTCGAATAAATTTTAATGTTATAGTCATCGTTGCATCAATTGTACAGAAAAAATTAATCAGCATGAGATTATACGGAACAGAATAATGTTTCAAAATGTATTGTACAAAAAAATACTTAAATAATTTAATATTTAAATAATACTCCATTTTTTTTTAATAATAAACTCGATGTCTTGTTAACGAGATGTTAAGAAGTTTTTCTATTTTAGCGAAAAACTGATAATTAAAAATTTTTTTTTTAAATAATGAAAATTTAATCTTTTGGAAAAGTTTATACGTATGTTGTTTATGCGTTAATTTACTAGATGCTAATATTTTCTAATATTGAATAGTCTCGATTCTCTCTTTTTAAATAAACTATCGAATGTAACTTATTGATAGAACATAGGAGTCATTTTACATTACGGGTTCGATTTATGTAAGATAAGGGTGGCGGAATGAGGACGGAGATCTTTTTCTTTACTTTGAAATTTTTCTTAAGGGGGAACCCCACTGTGACGACCAGAAAAAAAACAGGCTTAATGGTTCTTCAGGTAATAGTTCTCAAAGTAACGGTTCTTAAAGATAATGCAGGTTTTTGAAGGACGTAGTGAAAGTGACGGTCTAAAAGAATTTTCAATTGTCAGATCAAGATGTAAATTGAAAAAAAATTTTTGTCAGTCTAACAATAAGCTTTTATAGTCTGGGGCGTAAAAAATTTTCGAAATTCTTTTTCTAAAAAATGAATAATGAATACTAGAGAAAAGAGTGACTTGAAGCACAAAGAATATTTTCAAAGAATATATCATTTTAATTGAGATTCTTTTAAAAGATAATTAATGACTAAAGAAAAATAATAAGTCGATAGTATCGATACTGATATAAATCTCCTAAAAAGACATCTTTATTTCTCAAAAATTAAATGTTGCAATTTATAAAATATTGTAATAACGTTGCCACTTCAAAAATATTTTTATTAATGGTGAATTTAATTGCAGATTAATACACAAAGACATTCCAATATAAACTGATGAAGTAAACCTTACATTTGAAACCTCTAAAACATCATTATAGGGAAACAAAAAGATGTGTCTATTTGAACAATATGCGATAAAAATAGAAAATTATTGTAGAAGGAGAGAAGTCAATTTTAAATAAATATTATAAGTATTATTTTTTTAATTAAAATAATAACAATAATGTATGTATATTTACGTTTTAAATATAGTTTTTATATATGTATACATATACATACGCAATACAAATTTCTGTTATCAATGGAAACAGGTAAAAATTACCGAAGAACTATGAATTGTAACAATTTTCCGAAAGAACTCTTTAGCCTATTCTGTCTCATTCGGCAATATTCTATCATATCATGCTAGTGATAATAATAACAATTGTATGTACATGCATTCCATAAACGCATAGACATTCCATGTCTATGATACGGGGAATCCCGACTAACTGATACTTCAAGCGAGATGAGGAATGCAGGTGTCAGGATGCATTTAAAAAAAAAGAAAAAAAAAGAAGAGATAAGAAATGGATCAATATCAGATCTTCGTGCAGAGATTCAAATAGGCTACCTGCAGAAACTAAAATTATAGAGCCTTGGTAGATATCTTTGGAAATGGAAAAAATTTTTTCGCGATTGTTTCGCTCGAACATCGTGGTAAATATAAAATTATTGTATAAAATTGTCCAATAAAGTTATTTTTATACAACAATAATTCTCGCGAATCTTACAAACATTCAATGCATCTTATATTTTTACTTTAAATATCTCTTACAC